AAATCCATTCTAACTTCTTCCTTTGGTTGACATCATCTTGATTTGAGGCTTTTAGCATTTGTAATCTAGGGGTTTGCATAACCATAAGGGTTCTTAGATCCAATTGACTATTGTTTTCTTATCAAACCTCCTTAAATCTAACCGAACTAGTTCCCATTCTCATAACAAAGAGGAAGACCAATACCGACCTCTTTGGCCTGATGCGCATTACGACAATCAACACTTTGCTGATAACAACGACCCTATGGATGATGGTGCCGACTACAGTCGCTAAATGGGTGACCTGTAGAAGTATCTCCTCGACAAGAAGGGGAAGCCTTTGGGGGCATGGACGTCTCCCTGAGCTGCTCGAAAAAATTTATAAACAACAAGGCTCAATCCAAGTTCACTTTGGTCGCACTTTAGGGAATGATCACCAAGGAAGAATTCGACCTGATGAAAAACAAGGTTGACGCTTAGGTCGAGGCCTTTAAAAAGAAATGCGAAAAGAAAGACGATTTGTTTGATGACGGTGAGATGGGTGAATCAGCATTCACCTAGGACATACTCGAGGTGCCAATCCTGGCCAATTTCAAAACGCCCACCATGAAGTCATACAACGGGTCCAATGACCGAAAAGACTATGTTGAGGTCTTTGAAGGCTTCATGGACTTTCAGGCTACGACAGATGCGACAAAATGCCGAGCATTCCAGATTGCATTGACGGGGAGTGATTGACTCTAGAACAAAATGTTGCTTCCTAGGTCGATCTTGACCTATAGCCAAATCCTCACTAACATCAATGAGACTGAGATGGAAAAGCTCCTCAAGCGCCTTGAAAAGCTCATAGGAGATCCAGACAAGCGAGACATAGGGAGGTACTGCCGATTCCATAGGGACCACGGCCATCATACCTTTAGTTGTTTCGAGTTAAAGCGCAAGATTGAAGACCTTATTCAATATGGCCATTTCAAGAAGTTCGTAGGCAATCCCATATCGAACTCTTCAGAGAAGAAAGATGACAGGCAACGATCAAGGACGTCACCTCGGAGAGACGATCGACATGTGGTCATCAATACTATCTTTGAGGGCCCAAGTGGGGACCAATGAGGGAATAAGAGGAAGAAACTTGCAAGGGAGGCGAGGCAGGATGTTTGTGCCGAACAACCGAATAGTTCAACCTGCCTAATCTTCTTATCTGATTCCAACCTAAAAGGTGCTCAATTCCCACATAGTGACGTCTTGGTGATCTTTCCCACGATCAACCATGTCCAGGTCAGAAGGGTGCTCATTAATGGATAAGCATTCTCCAATATATTGTACCTGACAACCTACGCTACCTTGGGGTGGAACAGGCGCAATTGAAGAAGAGTCCAACCCCCTTGATCAAATTCGCCTGGGAGATAGTCACACGAGAGGGTTGCATTGATCTCCCAGTTACAATTAGTCAGGTTGACACCCAAGTTACCAAGATGATCGAGTTCGTGATAATCGATGGCATATCGGCCTGCAATATTCGATAGACCAGTAATCCATGCACTTCAGGTCATTCCCTTAACACAAGTATCCAACTCCTAATGGGGTTGGCATTGTTCGAGGTGAACATAATACTTCACATCACTAAAAGGATTGATAGTTTGCACCATTCACTAGGCAACCGACTTGCCCAAGAAACTCCACTCGAAGCATGCCATACCAGTGGAAGAGCTTGAGCTTGTTCTCTTGCTTAGCCCTGAAAATCAAGTTAGTATTAGACACCAAGCTGGGGGGCTACTGACTGGGAAGAGCTGATCAAGTTCTCGGACGCTAATCCAGATATCTTTGCATGGTCTCATGAAGAGGCCAAGTATCAACCTAAAAATGATGGTGCAGCACCTCAACATTGACCCATCATTTGGATTTGTGAAATAAAAAAGAAAAAAAGACATATAAATAAAGAGAGGAGTGATGTAATTATTGTGGAAGTCAGCAAGTTGTTGCTTGAATATATAAAAGAAGTTTTGTATCCCAAGTGTCTCTCTAGTAGTCGTAGTTAAAAAAACTAACGGAAAGTGGAGAATGTGTGTAGATTTTACCAATCTAAATAAGACATGCCGAAAAGATTGCTTTCCACTTATGAGGATTGACCAGCTCATAGACGCCACGGTCGGGCACAAGCTGCTCACGATCATGGACGCTGACTCCAGACACAATCAAATCAAGATGTATGTGCAGGGATTGAATCTCCCAGCGGAAGCGCGTGAAACAATTATTAATGTAATTAAATTAAATGTAATTTAATTTAACCAAATTAACATATACCATTAATTTAATTCAATCATATTTAATTAAATTAAACTTGAATTAATCAATGAATCAAATTCTAATATCTATCTCTCTCATAATTTTGAATCCAATTCAAAATTAACTTTATATCATAATATATCAACATACATTATATTAATTGCATCTCATACAATTAACTTTAATTCCCTTTAACAAATTTGAACAATTCAAATTATTTCAAGACTAAATGTTCTTAACTATCCTTTACGAGCTAGCAAGGGGACCTAATGGACCTACATATCGAAAGCTCCAACAATACGAGATTAATTAATTAAACTCATGATTAACCAAATTAATTAATCAACATTCGTTAACTGTCAGTCACACCACTAAGACCCATAACTGCACTATTGTCACTGTAGAATATTTTGCGTCCACGGATTTTGACCATTAACAGTAAGTCATTTGTAACTATTACAAAGTGGGTCGTATCCCAGTGTTACCACGATAAGGTACCCAACCTTATATATATACTATAGACCCTTTAGGTTACTACTGGAACATTGTCCATCTATATATCGAATATATACTGTATATCAAATATATAAGTTGCTACAAAGTACACATATTAGTTAAGCAATATATCTTAGATGAAATATCATTGATATATTAGAATAACATTATTGATTAATGCACCCAGTCGACTAATAAATAACTCTGCCATAACTTAAATAAAAAGTTAACTCTAGTGTTATCTTTGTCGCAATCCCATAAATTTTATGCCAGATACATGTTGTATAATTGATTTGACACATATTCCAACTATTTTTCAAATGAATAATAAATATTAGGTTAAAGATTGCAGCACTTATCAAAGTTCAATATTATGGTAAATTAGGTATTCATGTCGATGCCCTCGACATAAAGGTCTGAACTCGCCACTGATTATATCTTCCAACGACTTTGAGATGAACGCCATGTGATAGGATGATGGATCAACCACCACTAAAGTCTTGTTGGGAGAATATTATCAAGTCCATTTGTTGGGGGAATATTAGCAAGTCCATTCTGCAATTGTGAGACAAATGGACGCATCTTAGTTGGACAGCTAACTAGGCATTAATTACACCCTAACTTCGCAATTAGGATGTAATTAATGACTATTGACCTTGATAATATAAAAAAGGGGCAGTTGCAAATAAGACAAAAATATTTAGTAAAATAAGCAAAATAGCAATGACATTTAGTTTTTTCAAATATAGCATTTTTTTCAAAAGAAAACGGAGATCCAATTTGAAAATTACAATTTTGCCCTGCAATATATCTGATATACATCTGTCATATATCTGTAATATATGCGACTATTGATATATGTAATATACCACTGATATAATAATGATATCTACTGAACTTCTAATATGACTTACCACTGATATACGTATGATAACCATTGATTTACCATGGCAATAAAACATTTATATATTTGTGATATATATTTGATGTGTCTCTAATTTACCATTATTATACAAATGATATAGCACTGATATAACTTCTTATATATGATTATATGATTTACCACTAATATAACACTGATATATATTTAATATATACTTAATATGTTTCTTATTTAGTATTGATATACCTCTGATATAACTATGATATCTACTAATATAATTATAATACATGTGTGTTGATATAATGCTATTATATCCACTATTTTTTTTTTCATATGAAAACAATGGTGCAAAAAAAAAATTTAAATATAAAGTTATTGCATATAAAAGGTTTATGTGGACATGCACGTCCAAAGAAAAAAAAGTTAGAAATTTGATATACCTTATAAATTTAAACACTAATATCCCTTATATTTAGTATTTAATTAATATTAATATATAATAAATAGTAGTGATATAGTAATCAACATTATTGATAATATTAGTATATCAATCAACAAACTGCAATGGTAAAATATAATTTAAACAGCCGATATACCACTAAAAATTAAACATTTGATATACTTTATATCTAGTATATAAGTTGCAATTATATTTAATTAGTATATCCTAAATTAGAGGTACATTAGATATATATATTAGAAGTATAATACATACATCTGATAATGTATACCAGGGGCGGTACATCGAATGCATATCGGAAGTATATCAAATGTACATTGAATGTATATCAGATATAGATTGATGATATACATGAGATTTATATCATATACAGATATACATTGAATGAATATCATATATCATAAGGGTAAAAGCAGAATAATAAAAATTTCGAAAATAAAAATTCAAATATTTTGCTATGTTTGAAATTTTGAAAAGTTCGTGACATTTTTTTGAAATAAAAAACTAAACTAAGTAAATAATTAATTAATTAAATAGCGAGGTTGTTGATTAGGGTTGTACACATAATATTCAATGAATTATTTACAGAAATAGCACAAATAAATGACAAATAAAATAGTCCAGTTGCTACCCACTTACATGCTATTGATGCGAAAAAAAAATAAAAAAAATTCAACAATAATACATATACGACTAATCAACCAGTAATCATAGTTTCAAAAATAAAAAAACAAATAATAAAAAAAATCCACTAATCTTGTTAAGGATCCAAGAACCATTGACCTCGATAATTTTCATTACATAAATGACTATTATATTAAAATGTAAATAATATATTTTTAAAAAATGAGGTATTTATGTAATATATAAATGTTGACAAACTGCAAACCAGATAAAACCCACATGAGAAGACGATTAGATTGTGGAAAATAGTATTCGCCATCTTCGATTCAACAATATGAGTGACCTTGTGATTCTCGAAGGCGATCAACTGCGAAAGCTAGCAAGAATAATTAGGAATCAAGAGGCCAATGCCATAAAAAACATCAAATTCCAATATGAACACGAACTTGCCCAATATCTGAGAGCCAGCGCAGGTAATCATCGAGCGAAGGATGGAGGCAAGTTTTCTCATCTTAACATAGATTGAATTTGAAAACATGTACAAAATGTTTCCAGAACGTTTAGAGATCAGGTTTGACGCATGAATGTTAATTAAGGATATTACGTTGAGAAGAAATGAGACCTTGTATAGGTTTATAATAGATATATCATTGACTACTTCTAGCCAATTGATTTTGAGATGGAACCCATAAATATTAATGCGGGAAGTTTGGCTCAACTTTTGCAGATAATTACGAGTCAGTGATAAGGCTTCTGGACGACAACGATGTCATGAAGCACACATTCAAAGACGACAAAACTCGATCTTTGATTGCTAACGATATCTTCTCGTACATAGTTTCGTCCGTCAACTTAGGGCTTCAGGAAGTGAAGAATTATGCATTGCGGGTGAACTATCTGAGAAAGATAAGTCAGCACCGAAACGAAATTGTTCAGTATAGAAACTATATGCTGGAGTATACTAGGAATCGTCAAAGTGTAGCTGCGCGCAGCTTCTCCAGATACCTCAAAAATAGTGGAATCAAGTTCAATGATCTCCTTAAAAGGTAAACATATATACTTATTTTCTCAACACCACAATACATTTTCCTCTTTGAAATCAATTTTACTCTATAAAACCAAATATCAAAGTGATTTATTATAAGCCTATGTCTCCATCTAAAAGATTGTAGATTGGAATATTCTCACACCTATATTTATGATAGGACATTCCAAAATAAAGAAAAAAAAAAAGCCTAAACATTAAGGTTTTTTTAGTACAACATATATGGAGTTGGAAGATCGAGCGTAAAATCTACTGGTTGGAGATAGATATCAATTAATGCTAAGCTATGCTCGCATTGGCTACTAAACATTAAATTGAATGTTTTTTTGTTCCTTGACTTTTAATGTTGCGACTAATATATACCTAAAACTCTACAAAATGGCAAATAGATCTCTAAAACTTTTAATTTTATGTCTAATAGGTTTTTGAGAGTCTAATAGGTGTTAGAGGTGTTCACGGTTCGGTTCGGTTCGGTTTTAGAGCTGAACCGAAATCGAAACTGAATATTAAAATGTAAAAAATTATAAACCGTGCCGAACCGCATTTATCATACCAACCGAACTAAACTGTCGCTTCAGTTCAATCGGTTTTTGCGATTTTTGCGATTTCTGGACTAAAATGAAAGATGTAATTTTTCCTCGTTTCTGCTAAAATTTATATCACTAATTATACCTTTTGAAAGTGGGTGGGGTACCCCATGAAAAAAAAATTCATGCATCTTAACCTTTAACAATATAAATAACTTTCTAAGTAGGATGCCAGAGGTCACGGAAGATAGATTCATGGAGGGAGCAGCGGCAGCAATAGAAATTGGATTGGAGGTAGCAGCAGCAACAGTAGAAGTTGGGTTGGAGGTAGCCACAACAAATGTAGAGGTTGAAGAAAAAAAAAATGTAGGAAGATGAGAAGAGGAAAAGAGGAAAAGAGGAAAAGTAAGAAGAGAGACAAGATGAGAAAGGAGGGCAAGTAGAAATGGTAGATTTGAAAACAAACCCACCATTCAACTATAATTCAATTTTGTAATTTTTTAAAAGTAAAATAAAATACCGAAAAGACAAGATATTAATTTTAAAATAAAAAATCAAGGAAATATTGTGTGCCTCGTCTGCCGTGCGTCTGCCGTGCATCAGAATCATCATGACTCTTACTTTTACGTTCACCAATGTATTAAATGTAATATAAATATATAATTATTGATAATATTAAATATAAATATAAATATATAATGTGGCTCGATTCATATTTGCTATTTGGTTATAATTCTAAACTGAAACTGAACCACATATTACTGACCGAACCGTAAAATCGACAAAACCGTTTATTCGGTTCGGTTTTTGGTTTTTCTGGTTTTCTCGGTTTGATTGTGCACCCCTAATAGGTGTATGAATTTTTTAGATTCTTTGTTTCTGTTAAGTCCCTAAATTTTCAATTTTGTGTTTAATATATGCATTTGATTTTTTTTGGTTTACATTGTTTTCTTTTAAATTTATTGACTTATTAGACACAAAATTTAATTGTGTTTATTAGGACGTCAAAAGTTTAATTTTGTCTCTGATGGATCTTTGTATTAAAATAAATAAATAAATAAAATAAAGCTTAATAGGTTTGAGGCATATTAATACAAAATTTAAAAGTTTAGACATTTATTAAATATCTATAGAGTTCAAGAAATTATTAGACACAAAATTCAAAGTTTAGATATCTATTAAATAGAAAATATTTGGCTCAACAATAATGAGAACCAACTTTGACAACGTAGAGAATCGCAGAAAATATATATATATATAGTAAATAATGAGTTGTCAAACATTTAATAACGAGGATGACAATGTTTGTTCTCATTCTTGAAGAGTTTAATTATTTTTTCTTTTTTAATAATCTATTTGACACAACAATTCAGACTAAACTTATAATTTAACAAAAATTAAAGTATGCATTGTGGGTTAAATGTGTAGGAAACATTTTTATAATTTTATTTTATTGTTTGGTTAGTTACATTTTTGCTTCACGTATAAATATGTGAGGGTGTGTTGGGTTGATGATTAGGAAACAGAAATCTGAGAAAAAGTGATTCAATCAAAATAGAGTTGTATTTTTTGTTTTTAGTGTTTTGAGATATGTGTTTAATATTAGATTTGAAAATTGAATATCAATTTAAAAAATTGTCCATTGTGTTTAACAATATATTTATACAATAGTAGTAGCTACCAACTAAATATTTAATTTAATCTAAAATAATATTAATTAATTTTTTAACATTTTTGTTACAAAATTTATATAATTATCATTATACAATGTTGTAGAATTTATAATATATTACATTTTACATCATTTGACATTAAAAAGAGTGAAGTGAATATATAATATGAAATAATGTATTTATATAAATTTGTATATTTTGAATGTAGCTAGGCACTTTTAAATTTAAAATTTGAAATTTGAAAACATAAATGTTATCTTTAATTAGAAATTTGTTAAAACTATGACAACAGTCTAGAAATCATGCGAATTAAAATTTCATTAATACATACAAATATATTTCATGTAATTAAATTATTTAACATATTAATTAATATATACACATATTAACTAAATAAATTGAGGATAAAGTGATAAAAGAAAAGGACAAAATTAATCCACCCATAAAAATTTTGTAAAAATAAAATAAAACCCAAAGAATTACAGCCCAGTTTTGAAAACATGGAAAACGTGTTTTGACAAAATTTATCACCAAACGTAAAAAAAATGTTTTTGAAAACAAAAGACTGTTTTTGAATATTCTACCCAACGCGGTTCGAGTATCTCCATCTTTGGAAGTCAACCCTTAGAATCTTGGATCAATTTTAGGTATTTAGAATCCGTTTGGAAACATTCGTATTTGTGGTTTTGTTTCTTTACTTTTAATAATTAATATTAATTTTATTGACTAACATCCATGAATTCAAGTATGAAAATACAATTTTTTTTATTTACGTTTTGAGATAAATTGGAAATGAAAAAAAAAGAGAAGAAATTGATTTGGGTAGTCAGGAATAATAAAATTAGTTAGTAGTAAAATAATACTTAGATTTCTTTAAAAAATTAGTTAGCAGTAAAATAATGCTGAGATTTCTTTAAAAAATTTGAAATAAGGAACAGAAATAAAAATGTTATCAAATCACTATGGAAATTAGTATCTAATTTCTCATCATTTACTTCAAATACACGCATGTGCATGGTAGAATATACAATTTATTTTCATACGCAGCGCAAGGCTATTACAAATTTAAATCCATTTGACAATTATTTTATTTTATTCTTACTTTAAAAAATTAAGTACCCTTCTAAAACACTATTTTTATTTATGTTTTATCTTGTTCTTCTATTTACTTTTTTACCCAATAAAACTTGAAACCTAAAATAAATATTTTTAAATATACCTTTTTTTTTAACTTTGAAATTTAGTCAAGAATTCAATTTTTTTTATAAATATAACAAACAAATTAGATAAACCCTGAAACAACAAGCATAAATTTTGAAACATAAAACTAATAACCAAAATAATTATAAAGAGACGTTTGTTATAGGAGGAAAAACCGACAGACAAACAGAATTGAAGAAGTGGCGGGCCGAAAATTGGACCATTGGGCCAAGTCGAGCAGGGCTCGGTATCGAGCCTTGCTCGGCGTTGAGCCGGGCTTGGCCCAGGGCCAAGCTCGGCATTCCCGATTCCCTCCATCAATCCTTACAAGCCAGCCTCATTCCCCCCGACATCCGTTACAAGCCTCATTCCTGCCGTCATCCGTTACAAGTCACGTGGTGAAGAAACCCTATAAGAGCCGAGCGACTATAAGGAGAGGGGTGAGCAAACCCTAGAGGTAAGCGAAATAGAGAATAGTGGCTTGATACTAAGGGATTTCGTTCATTGAGCTGACTTTGGCATCAGAGTCCGTGTGACTAAGGTTGCACCGGTTTAGTCTAATTTGAATTTTGCAGGTCCCCGATCATCGAAGTTGTTGCAGATCCTGAGGCAATACCCATTGGAATCTTCCATGCATCAACAATTGGCGCTGTCTGTGGGGACGTGTAATCGTACAACCAATCATGACTCCGGGAGAAAAGTCCATAATGCTCTGATGATGATTGCCATCCAAGGAGGAGGCTAAACATGGATGACCTTCAACTAGGAGGAGCTGGAGACGGAACGAGCCAACTGGGAGGCCGAGAACTGCTCGAGATCCCTGTTACTGCCGTCCCAGAGCAACTTCAGGGTAAGTTTGTAGTCCTGGAATAAAAGGTGGAAAACATGTTTCAACGCATGACCCAACTACTCAAACAATTAGAACATCGGGAGACAGATCAATCATCTCTTCGCAGGGATCCCCAAAAGAGAAAGGGTCTTGTACCTAGTGAGGTTGAAGAATCGACAAACAACATGCAGAGTAGATTGAGGCTTGGAGGAAACGACAAGAGACGCACCCGAATTCTCGATTGTCGAAGTCCACAGAAGGACAAAAGGCAAACAAAGTCTCCCCAGTGCAAAATGAAGGCAAAGGCGATCGAAATAGCCCAGATCTCGAGTCATTAGATTTCGACAATGAGAAACCAACTGAACGACCCAAGCCGTCAGAAAGACAATTAGGTCAGAAAGAAAAGGGGTTTGATCTCGAAGAGCTACTAGACCAAGCTGATTCGCCATTCACAGAAGAGATCATGGAGGAGAAGGTACCTCCAAAATTCAAGCTACCAATGTAAAGCAGTTTGACGGGTCGGCCGATCCGGTAGATCACCTCGATGCCTATCGATAATGGATGGATATATATGGAGTGTCGGAAGCAATACGGTGTCGAGTGTTCTCCTTCACCCTTAGCGGGTCAGCCAGAGTATGGTTTCGACAGCTAAAACGAGGTTCGATTTCCAACTTCAAAAGTTTGGCAAGGGCATTCGTGACCCAGTTTGTGGGAGGACGAAGTCGAAGCCGACCCATGGCCTACCTTCTAACAATCAAGCAAAGAACAACAGAGAGCCTTCACGACTACGTTGCTCGGTTAAACGAAGAAAAGATACAAGTCGAGGGTTTAACTGATGCAGTGTCCCTACTAGCATTCACATTTGGAATAAAGGATGAGCACTTGTCATTCTCGTTCGGAAAGAAAACCCCGAGCACTTTTTTAGAGGCTCTGAGCCGAGCCCAGAAATATATGAGCATGGAGGAATTTTTTCATTCGAAAAAGGAATCCAAAGGAAAGCGGACTGACTAGAAAAGGGAACGGACAGGAGATAAACTACAAGGATCGAGGTGGGAGAAGCGCGATCGAACCAACTAGAAAGAACTACCCCGGGAATTTGATAAGTACACTCCCACGATAGTCCCACTAGAACATATATTAGTGGAAATCAAGGACCAGAAGCTACTCTGGTGGCCAGAGAAAATGAAAGCACCTTCTAGTAAGAGAAGCAAGGGGAAATACTGTCTCTTCCACTGAGACTACGACCATGCCACCCAAGACTGTCTTGACCTCAAAGAAGAGGTGGAGGGACTCATTCGGAGAGGATATCTCAAAGAATATGTGGAGAATCCTAAAGCACCCCTAACTGAAGAGAATGACAGCAAGTCGCATGACAAGGAAATCCGAACGATTATGGGTGATCCAACGGAGTCTGGTCGGAAGAGAAAGACCAGTGTACGAGAAGCAAGGACAAGTCAATATCAACATGAAATATACCATGCCTTTCAAGCAAGACCACCCCCAAAAATTGAATGATCAGAGAATGAAGCAAATCACCTCTTCCATCCACACAATGACGCGCTGGTCATTGCTCTAAACATAGCCAACACAAATGTGCATCGAATTTTAGTGGATGGGGGCAGCTCAGCCGACATCATCTCCTTAACAGCCTATAAAGCCATGGACTTAGGGGAGAAGTCGCTTAAGAATAGCCCCACACCCTTAATAGGGTTTGGGGGAGAGTGAGTCATCCCAGAAGGGAAGATCGAGTTGCCAGTGATATTTGGAAGTGGGCCAAGAAGCATCATCAAGATGATAGAATTTTTGGTTGTCGACTATGCATCCTCTTACAATGCGATATTGGGAAGACCGACCATACATATGGTAAAGGCAATACCATCTACATATCACCAATCAATGAAATTTCCAACACAAGAGGGCATATGAGAGATTGAGGAGGAACAACGGATATCTCGTGAATGTTACTACACTTCTTTGAGAGGCAATATCTGAGAAACGAGAGTCTCCTACACTTCTTTAAAGAGCCAGGAGTTGTAGGATAAAAGCAATTTGGTTAAAATTCCTTTCTTTTATGTTCTTTGAAAAAATTCCAGTTACGTTTTCATTCAAGTTTCCATTTTTAATAAAGCTCATGTTATCCGTTTACTTGAGAAATTTCTTATCTACATATGCACTCCTCAAGTAGGGGGCATAGATATGTCCTAAGGCCGAGAAGGGCTCAACGTAGGCCGAATAAGCGACAAGTAACCGATGAGGGCTCGGTACCGAGCCCAGGTCGGCACCCTCACCTTATCGGCACTCATCATAGCAGCATACTAGCCGATAGAAATTTGGAATTTCAACTGATTAAAGTAGACCATCCACTATGAAAAAATTGGGAAAGAAACTAGATAATTGATTAATAATTCCAAATGTGGCTACAAATAAAGGTAAGAAAGTAGCTGCAAATAAAAGTAAGACAACAACATAACATAAAAGCAATAAATGCAGACAAGATGATTTTCCACCAAAGTGCTCTCCACCTTCCTACCCATCGGTATCTTCATCATCCATGTCCTCAGGGGCACTACATTCGACCTTAAAGTGCTCCTGAAGAAAAGAGTAGTCGATGGTCGGATGCTCTCTGAAAACTTGGCGAAGAGACTAGGAGATGCCACACTCCATTGCGGCGTTCTGCAGATCAACATACTCCTGCGTTTTCTTGAACTCCTTGGCCAAGAATTCAGAGTCGAACATTGGCCTCGTCAAACCTCCCTTGCAGGTTAGCAAGCTCATCTCATGATTTTCTTTTCTCGGTCTCCAACTCACGACGAGCACCCTCCAAGAGGCTATTGACCTGATCCAAAGAGGAGAGGGCCCAATCCAATTCCTCCCAAGGGGCATAATGACAGCGAAGGTGGTTGATTTCATCGGCAACTCGGCCCGAGAACACCACCAGACGATTAAAAACCTACAAAGTCAGAAAAAGACATTAGGTAAAAACGCTACGACTGGTACTTAAAAATTGCAGATATTCACCTAGTGGAGGTCGCTAAAGCATGCATTGATGCTGTGCTGAGGATTCGACAAGCCAAAATCTGACCTACTCGACGATTCTCCGAGCCATTGCAAGAGGCCAAACGCCCTTTCCAGGTAAACTGTCCTGTCGACATCAGCGCTATATGAACCGGAAATCGGGAAGGTTGAAGCGTGGGAGGAAGACCCTGTGTGGTCTCGAAAAGTAGAGGGAGTAGGCGTCCCTTGTAACCGAGCAGAACGCCGAGGTGCTGCAGAGGGCATTGAAGGCCGAACCTGCCGAGATGGGGGGTCCTCCTGTGTCAAATCAGTCACCTTAATGTCTGAAGCCCGACTAGAGCTGGTCCTCGAGCTCCGAGCATTTCGACGGCGTTCTATTTCATACAGAGAAGCGCTTCGTCTCGACATTTGTACAAGTAGAGATAAAAGTCAAAATTGACTTTCACGCAAAGTGAAGAAAGAATTTGGACGATTACCTGGAAGATTATGAGGGAGAGCCAAGCCAAAGTCCACTAAATTCTGCTACTTAACCAGATATGGGCCCCAACGCTCGGTATCCGGTAATTGGATGACAATATGATAGAAATTGAATGTCTTGATTATAAGCTCACAATTACGAGGAACTGTCAACAAAGAAAGAGAAATATCAGAATAGATGTCTATAGAAGTTTCGGTAGAGCTCGAGAATTTACTTACCTAACTCCCTACACTCAGTCGGGACAGGGAAGTATAGTCCTCTCTCATCACGAGCTAGTCAATCGCCACCAACAAGGAACCACTCGTCCTTCCAATGCTTCACTGAGGAAGGACCCATATCAAGAGCTTGGTTCTGAGAACTAACATAAAAGTGAAAATTATCCTCGGGACTATGCTTAAGGTAATAAAGCAACATGAAATCCGCAGCGGTTAAAGGTTGCTCGGCCCCAAAGAATGACCACAAAATAAAGCAACTGATCAAAGTAGATCACCAATTCGGAACGATTTGGGTAGGAGCTACTTGATTAAAAGCTAAAAATTTTTGAAGAAAAAGAGGCAACGGTAGACGGACTCCAAATTGGAACATGGCTGCATAAAATACAACCTCTCTAGGAAAAGATCCATCAATACTTTCACTCGGATTTTGAAGACGAAGGCTAACCGAATCCGGGATGTGATACTTTGAACTCAAGCGACAAAATTCCCTCGCCGTAAGAGTGGAATTATCCACCCAAGAAGGACGATAGGGTCCAGACTCAGACGAAGGATTTGATGACGACCCATTATCTGAGGAAGTCCACTCAAAATTTAGACCATCACTGGACGTCATGAGAATAAGGCAAATCAGAAAAAGGAGGATGAAACAGAAAGTTTACCTTGAAGGAAAGGAGTGATTGAAATTGGAAGGTGTTGGAGGGTTTATATAACCCCGAAGGAAGGAATAGTGCTCAACCAGTGGTCCTTAACCACTAGGCCGAGAACTGCTCGGCTCGCCTCCCGAAGTGACCATCTGTCCGAGATCGGCTCGGCACAGTCTCCGAGAGACTCATGACCTTCTTGGTCATGGGTACGATGTGACAAAGCAAAGGGATAAAGCCAAAAGTGGCTCGACACACTGTTGAAAGAACCTATGACCTTCTCGGTCAAAGGGCAAAAATGAAAACCCCTTTTTATCTTTGCTCTCGGCCTACGCAACGCATAGAAAACCATGAGTTGATGTGATAACACCTACACGGGAACCCATATTGTCTGGCTCGATGGTCGAGGACGAGTAACTATGTTTCAGACACTCTTACTCTCAAGGAGATAAAAATAGAAGTTAAAAAGCATCACCTTTAGAGTAGGAGGCAACTGTTATAGGAGGAAAAACTGATCGGCAAACAGAACTGAAGAAGTGGCGGGCCGAAAATTGGACCATTGGGCCAAGCCGAGCAAGGCTCGGCTCATGGGCCAAGCCCGACGTTCCCGATTCCCTCCATCAATCCGTTCCAAGCCAGCCTCATTCCTCCCCGGCATCTGTTACAAGCCTCTTTCCCGCCGTCATCCGTTACAAGTCACGTGGTGAAGAAACCCTATTAGAGCCGAGCGACTATAAGGAGAGGGGTGAGCAAACCCTAGAGGTAAGCGAAATAGAGAATAGTGACTTGATACTAAGGGATTTCGTTCATTGAGCTGACTTTGGCATCGGAGCCTGTGTGACTAAGGTTGCACCGGTTTAGTCTAATTTTAATTTTGCAGGTCCTCGATCATCGAAGTTGTGGCAGATCCCGAGGCAATACCCATCGGAATCTTCCACGCATCAACAACGTTAATGATAAAGATTTGTAATTTTATAAAAGAGTGCTGGATCAAAAATTTTAAGTTAGACTTTTTTTAGATTTAAATATGTGAAAAGTGTAGATTTTGTTTTTTTAGATATTACATTCAAATAAAGTAAAGTAAATTATTCAAACTATAGAAAACAATTATATTTCATATTAGTTTACTTGGTATAAAATATTACATATATTAATTTGAGATTTTTTTTTCTTTATTGTAATTACATACTTTATGCAGCTTTAAAGAAACATTTAAATAACTTCCCAAAAAGTTTAAAACTGCTCTTATCCATTTTCATTTGATATCAAGAAAAAAAAAAGATGGAATATATATAGATTTGCAGACTCAATTGTTGTTATTATTATTATTTTTATGTGTCATTTACCACTAAATTTTTTTGGTTTGACATGGTTACCTTTTAAATTGTGAACAAACTCACCTAACATCCAATGTCCAGACATCAGGTACACGATTAGGCGTGGTTTTTCTGTGGCATACGAAGAGCTGGCAAGTGAAGATCAATTCCTGGTAAGTATTCCTATTATTTTTATTCCTTCGTAATAAACTTTCTAAAAATAATTTTTTTTGGAACGTAAATAAAAAGTATTTAAAGAATAACGTCATCAAACTGGCCTTATTACAGGTGCTGAATGATATTATTAATGCATCGGGGCGAGGAAACATGATAGTGAACAATTTATCAAAGGCGTCGGGTGCAGCAGGCATAATGGTGCTGGTTATGATTGCAGGAGTGATTGTATGGGATATATTTTCATCCGAATACGTGCTCGAAACAACAGTACGTGATGCTATGGTGACTGCTGCATTCCTCGGTGGGCTGTTGATAGATGATCTTGTGGAAGCGCGTTGCCACTTTTAGGTGTTTGCGAGGAACCTCTTTTGTTCGTGATCGTGATTGCAGTTATAGGTGGCATCATGGGGACTTATATAATTAATAGGTTTGTTGGTAATTGGTTGGTTGGCTATATTTTTCAGACTGGGACTTCACGCCGCCCCTTAGCACCAATGGCCATCGTTTTTATGTGACGCCCTTGCCCGATGGCGAGGCATTGGCACGTCAAATTGTTCATCACCAATCACTTGTCAACTAGGTTAATTACTCTATACAGCAATCTCTTTTGGTTTCAGAAACATATTTGTACTGATGTAATGAATAATCAACCTCTTTTGATGTACTTGTCAATCAATAATTTGTGCATTTTTCCTTTCGACCAACCTTTACATAGGACGAGCCGACCTTGGAAAGCACCTACAACTAGTGTTGTCAAAAGCGTCCTATCGGGAGCTCACCTGATAAGCGCCAAGCTTGTTGAGTTTACAAAGTTAGAGGTCCTTCTAGGATCCTTGCAAACATTCACAAAATTAACTAACTTACCGAATAATTCCAACCAAGAGTAGGGTTAGAAGGATGAATCACTCTTACATCAAACCTAGAATCATGATGGTCACTCATATATAAACCCTAAATGAATTGATTTTAAGAAACATGATGATTCCTTGATTAATTTACAAAAGAATAACTAGCTATTCCCCTAAAATACAGAGAAGATTCATCCTTTATTTAACTACACAAGGGTGAAGATAACCAAAAAAGGAAAGATAATAAAACAATAGACAAAATCCTTAATTGTCCAGAATATAAAAGGTAAGAGGACAAATTAAGAATGTGTGTCAATGATTTTAATTACAAAATATATACTAATTAAATTAAAAACAGAAAGGCAGTGACCAATTTGAAGGGAGCCAAATCTGCACAATTGCTACGCTGCGAATTTTTCTAACTGATATGAGGAAATTTAGGAAATTCCACCAAATTCAAAATTTCATTAAATTTCAACGAAGCCACAATTTTAAAGACTGCTGAATAGATAGATTGAAGAATTGACACCCGCTTTAACGTGGCTTGAATGTGGCAGCTTGTCGAGCTTTTCATTCTTCTTCAAACTGGAGGTAGGATGGACCGAACGCCAAGTTTGCTCCTTAGTGTTATGAAGATGACCTTGGGTAGTGGCTTTGTGAGGATGTCAACCAGTTGATCATGGGAAGGAACATATCTAGTAATTAGTGAGCCCATGGCTACTTTTTCTCAAACAAAGTGGTAATCAAGTTCAATATGTTTAGTTCTAGCATGAAACACTAGATTTATAGACATATGCAATGGACTCATGTTATCACAAAAGAGTTGAGGAGGTTTTAAAAGAGGAATATGCATGTTTCTTAACAAAAAGGATATCCATGTTAACTCAGCCGTTGTGTTTGCCATTGTTCGATATTCTGCTTCAGAGCTAGATCGTGACAAAGTAGGTTGTTTCTTTGATGACCAGGATATCCAATTTGATCCAAGGAACACACAGAAGCCTGTGATGCTCCTTCTTGTTGTTGGACATCCCCTCAAATTTGCATCACGGAATGCATATAAGTTAATTGAGCTATGTTTGGAGAAGGATATACCATGTGTCATTGTTCCATTGAGACAATCAAGTATCCTCTTGATTGCTCGCATGTGTTAAAGTTAGGGTTGTTGAAGATGTTGGCACACTTTATTAATAGTTTGAACAATGTCGGGTCTAGTTAGGGTGAGATATTGAAGAGAGACAACTAAACTTCTGTATGTGGTTGGATCAACTAACTCATCATCTTTTGGAGTTTTGGAGTTTGAAGTGGACATCGGTGTTGCAATGGAAGTGGACTCGAGCATATCGGCCTTTTCCAACACTTCTTGCTTGAGGCATTGACAGGTCAAATTGTTCATCACCAATCACTTGTCAACTAGGTTAATCAATCTATATAGTAATTTCTTTGGGTTTCAAAATTAAAACAAATTTGTACTGATGTAATGAATAATCAACATCTTTTTTGATGTTCTTGTCAATCAATAATTTGTGCATTTTACCTTCGACCAACCTTTGCCTAAGACGAGCCGACCTTGAAAAGCACATGCAGCTAGCATTGTCAAAAGCGTCATCTCGCGAGCTCACCTCATAAGCGCCAAGGTTATTCAGTTTACAAAGCTAGATTCTAGGATCATTGAAAACATTTACAAAATTAACTAACTTACCAAATGATTCCGACCAAGAGTAGGGTTAGAGTGATGAATCACTCTTAGATCAAACCTAGAATCATGATAGTCACTCATAGACCCTAAATGAAATGATTTAACATCAAATAATTAACCTAGACTAATCCAATGAATCAATATTGAAAGAAACAATATCAAATAATTGACCATGTCATGAGCATTACAAGCCTAATGAATCGATTTAACATCAAATAATTAACCTAAAGCAATATTTGAAAGAAACAACACTAAATGTGTTATGGAACAAAAGTTCATGATTTCAATATTCTAAATATCTTAGTCTGCCTTTGTCAAGAGTATTACAAGCTTTTAAAAAGGCCAAAAGACGTTCAAGATCAAAAGTTTTACAAAAAGTATTAAATTCAAATTGAAATAAGACATGCAAATTCAAAACTTGATTTCACATCAATCTAGATGTCAAAATGAGTAACAAAAAACATAGCAACGCTTTTAATTGTCTTCATTGTCTTCTGTAGTATGTGTTTCGCGCTTGGGTAAGGTTTGACAAACTTTTGACTTCACAAACTCCCCAGAAGTGCAATCTAGAAAGGCATATGTTCACTATTTTGCAAACTTTTTTTTTTTTGCCAACCTTGTCATCTCTAAAAATACACAATTTTTCTCATGCCATCTTTACTCCATTGTCTTATTGACTCATTACATTGACATTATAAATAATTTTAGGCTCAAAACTCTTTATTGGCTCTTTTGCATTAACCAGCTTTTGAAGATCTAGTGTCAAAGCCTCTTGAATCTTCCTTACCTTTACCGTAGGAATTACTCCTTTGATACGTGTAGTTGATCATAAATTTGATTCATATCATCACCTCTAAAAATAGAGATCCCAGCATCTCACGCGAGGTATGAGAAACTATATAATATTCTCAAACGATATAGATCAGATTGAGTATTGACTAGAGCGTCGGAGTGCTAACTCTGTTTTGTGTGTGCTTCATATGTCGGTACACCAACGATTGAGGCTCAATTATTTTCTTAATTAAACATTGGGCACCGTTTATGGGGAGAGACAATTTTCCTTACATTATTCCCTACACACTTTGAACTTAACAGTAGCTCAGCTCACATCGACACCCGTCCTAAGGACGCTCGCCAGACTTATACTCGTCATAGTTCCTTTCAAGTGGCAGATACCTTCGCTGCTAGAGCCAATGGTCATTGAATTAGTATTGATGGCCAAGCTGATGCTACTGCTCGTTTGTCGGTGAGGTGAGAAACTGATGATGGTCGCTCCTCTGTTCGTGGCCGAATTGATGCTAGTTGAGCTGTGGCCAGTGACCACCCGATTACACGCCTCAGCAACAAGTCAACGGTGGTGTTGTCAAGGAGAGGAACAACTTCATCTTATGCAGAATCTGAGGACTACTATTCTCGATAATATGTCGCAACCCTGGAATTGGGGAAACACTAAAGCTCATTCCGACCACACCATTGATCTATTGATTGATACAGTCATCATTGCTAACATGGTCCAGAAGATGGTCGAGTTGAAGGCCTAACTCAAGGCTATGGAGCAAAGAGGTGAGATGTCTGCTTCCACAGCCTCACGAGATCCAAGGAAGGGGAAGCAACCGATGTGTGCATGCAATCTACGACGAGAGGACCCACTTCATAGGTCTATTAGTGGGATTCAGATTGAGAGTCTGTCGTGAAGTCTACGTCCAAGCGTGGAGATCCTCTGTGAACCAAATGTAGTCGACCAAGAGGAATAGGATTGGCAATGTGATGACCCATGCCCTAGGGTTTAACTACCCACTGTTTGGCTTGAAGGTCGAGAGAATAGTGGAAGTTTGCACGACATGCTTCATGGTCGTACCTAGCGACCTCATAAGTAAATCACTGCACCAAACGACATTAGGCATCCCCTAAACGATTGTGTAATGCCCTAATATTTTCAATGTTTCAAAAGGGAGTCGTTACTAAACCCAACCACTCCTACAACTAAAAATGAAAAATAGAATCTACCCCAAGTACCCCACGTATCTCCACAATGGTAAGATATTGTCCGCGTTGGGCATAGCTCTCACTGCTTTGCTTTTAATTTCACCCAAAAGGCCTCATACCAATGGAGATAATTGTCCTCTCTTATATACCCATGATCATTCTCTTCCTAAACCAATGTGAGACTTTGATTACAATCACCTTACAAACCTATCACAAACATCTTGCGTTTTACAACATCAAAACATCATGCTCATCAATATATCATGCTTTAAGTTAAAAATAACATATATGTGACTAAACATGCATCCTACAAGCCAAGCTCAAGTCTCACATAAGAAAAAGTACTAAAGTTCTTGTTGCGCCTTTACCTTAATCAATAAGAGGCTACGTGCAAGCGCACACATCCACAAGTAATACAGCGAATTGTTTGATTTCGAATTCGTATCCAAATGAACTTTGATTCGAACGAGGTATTATGCAGAGTTTCAAATTGCACTCAAGTTTATTGGTAAAATAGTTGTTGAAGTCGTGTTTTGGCTTTAAAAATATCAAGCTTATAGAAATTGTGTTATACTTCTATCACAAACCACTTTTGGTTGTTTTAAGTCCTATGGCAACCACTTGACAGTTGATTAAAACCTAGAAATTACTACCAAATCATCTTCAATTTGGGTCAGAAGACCTATGTATAGGATCATATTTGATGTGCTTATGTCCTAATCTACATTATATATTCTCCTTATTACACACTTAACCTAACTCTTTTATTATTAGAATATAGTTTAGCTAAACTTCTTAGCAGTCGGCATAAAAAATCGCTTGAGAAAATATCTTGAGGAGCTAACCAATATATTGATCCTGGATATTGAAAAAACATATGTTTTTGCTACGTTTGCTCCACAAATTTACACTCCAAGGTATGCATAAAAACCTATATTTGAACAATAAAAACAAGGTTCATCAGTTCTCTAACTCTTTCAACATCTTTCCTATTTCTCCAGGATTTACTCCTTCGAGTTGTATCGACCCCTGATCTGTTTTACCTAGGCCCTAGACACTTCTTTATGGCATTCAACGTTTTATTCTTGACCACTTTTACCTAGGCCTCGAACTATTGCATCGACT